AGGTCTGATTTTTTTAGTATGATGATTTTAAGATCATTGAGTAATCCGCATTCTGGAAACATTTGACATCTAAGTTCTCCTGAAGATCAGCAACATAAATATTGAATAACACTGGAACTAAATTGGAGCCTTGTGGAACCCAAAAATTCACATTTGTAACGTATGAACGCTTGTCATGAACTCCTCTGATTTTGTATACTATTTCAAGTTGGTGCGGTTATTGGGTTAATTGTATGGAGGAACACACTAACACACTGACACGACAGTCCTGGGTCACTCCTGGAATGACTTAAGCTGCAAGTGACCTGGACTGTCTGAGTGTCACCCCAGGGACGTGTTGTTTCTAGGGTAATCAAAATATGTCATTGTCATTAATAATTTTCCATTGCAGGTCTTCCAATTTTCATGCATAGTCGTAGGAATTACAATATTCTCTGTGTGCTGGACAAACACTTATCATGAGAGGTAAAGTGTTTTAACGATTGAGATTTTTTACACTTTCTCTAAATGCTTGTAACACTGGTTTTGGTTGTTTAAATATTACCTTCTTGTATTTTTAAGTCTTGGTACCGGTATTTATTGTTTTTCCCTTTTAATATTTTTATATTATTTTTGTTGGTCACTCTTGGGAGTTAAAGGGTAACATTTTGCTGTTATAATGTAAAGTTCAAAAATTATAGTAGGGATTTGATAACATAATTTATGCAAATTTATTCTCTTAATGGATTTGTAATTATTTTCAAATGGCCTTTACCTAATGAAGTGTTCAACTTATAGAAACTACCATAGATGAAAATGAATGGATTGTTTGCCAGCTTGATCTTCGTTTTTGTGTTTCCAGTCGTAAGGACAAGATGATCAAGAATGCTTACATGACTTACCAAAGTTAAAATGCAAATCTGGCTCATGTATATTCTTTTTTTCAGGTCCAAAGTTCTTTGGCCATTATTATTGGTTATTCTTCTACCAATGAAGTTAACTACTGGATGTGGTTTTAGCTCAACAGCCATCTTTGTAAACAATTCAGTGCCCAATGAGCTCCTAGCTTCTGTTAATGGACTGGGAATGACAGCTGCCGCATTATGCAGGTAGAAAATGGAATCCCGTCTAGTTTCTGGAAAGAATGTCACAAATGATACCAATTAGCATTAAGTTATGTAGACTGAAACAGGGACTGACTATAAACTAGCTTAACTGCCACCTGATTAATGCCATAACATTTACTCAGAAAAGAATGTGTCTGGTGGCATTTGAACACTAATATTAATAATTATTGGAAACACTGCTTTGAACTTTTACAGCCATAAGCATGCTCTGATAGACTGGAAAGGTGTGAGGTGCTTCTGGAACTACACTGTACAAAATAATAAATTGCAGCTACATGTATTGAACAGTTGAGATGAACCTCATTAATTCACTAAGTACAAAGTTGAATCCAGCAACTGACTTCCCATATGTAACTTTTTCTGTTCTTTTTTTATCACACAGAGCCATTGCACCAGTGATTGTTGGAAGTTCTTTTGCATGGTCAATAAGTGAGGGCTTCAAGCTTGGATTTCCACTAAACGAACACTTTGCATTTGCAATACTGGTCATTATCACTGTGTTGAGCATTCTGTTGAGCTGTTTACTTCCAGAAGGGCTAAACAGAAGATATGTAACAGCAGAAAGAGTGTGATCGCAATCAGTGCAAGCTTCAATACAGCAACTCAGAATGCAAAGAGATGCCAGAGTTGGATGTTACAGCAGACTAATAGGCAGCATACATTTTGTATGCTGCCAAGTGTTTGCATGTCTGGCACTTAAGCAGGTGCCTGATTTGTTGATCAGGGAATGATAACCATTGGTATTTTGTAAGTGTAATGATGTAAGGATAAGAGCTACGAATTTGTGATGAACATGTCAGTTTTGTTTTTTGCTACAAGCCCCGGTTTTTCAAATGTTGGATGGCACTTAAGCTGGATTTCTACTGCTCTCTCATTGGCTCATTTCCCGAACAGCGGCTGGTAATCAAGCCTAGATGGTGTTTAATCCACTGCAGAAATCACTGTCCAGTGGATAAGTTTTAGGGAAAACCAATATTGTGTTATCCAGTGAATAGAGATTTACCCAGTGTTTAGCAGTATCCACCTTTCTCACAACTGGAACCAGCAGGGAATTATACCATAGCTTTTGTAATTAATAACATCAAATAAGTTAGGCTTGAAAAAGTCTAAACAGTGACTGCACCACCTTCAGTTGCTATATAACTGAGAGAATAGTGCAAAGATGAAAATGTTAACTCAGCATGCTTTTGCTGCATTAGTTTTTCTATTATCTAGACAAATATTTTTGAAGACAATTTATTGAACCTGTGTAGTTTTATGTGTTTGATTTAGAATAAATCAAAGTTAAATAAGTCAACAATTTTATAATATTGCAAATTTCCTGAGACAGGCACACTGTCACTGGGTATATGTTACATGTCAAAATTAAGTTCAGGTTAAACCCATCACCAATAGATGGGTGTGGGGAAGATGCCTAAATTTTGACTTAGATAATTCTCGAATTGGTTTAACCAAATTAATTTCTTCAATATTTCTATCTATTTGTGATTGCTTTATATGTTGATTGAGTTTTACTAGTAATGAATATTTTTTATCGTTGGTATAGTATTAAAAATTGAAAATCACAATGAGGGGAAATGTAAACACGAATCTGTCACTTTTACTACTCAATTAAAGTGTCACAATGCGTGCTTAATCTTGGCAAGAAATTAAAATATTCCCAGAACCGTATCTGTAAAAGTTTTAACTTTGCCTGTGGCCACTGAACCAACCTTACGTGCTATAAAGCACTTATAGATCTGATAAATTCATATTTAAAAACATACCGGTAATCAACTATTTATTTCTTACGAGGAGTGGTAATATTTCCTATTTCCTTCTTGATTATGAAAAAAAAAAAATCCAAAACAATATAATAATTAATATTTATAACAATGATATATTTTATGTCCATGTAAAGCATAGGCTGAACTAATACTTAGATATATTTCTGAAATTATTAAAGAGTTCAACTTCTTGTCATTTGACCAGACTTAAGTTTAACTTTTTGAAAATTGTAGAAATTTGTCTGAAGACTGGAGAGTGTGACTTCCCCACCATTCTCCCCTCATCTCGATATTCCCTTTATGAACGACATTACTGGTATCGGTTATACCCTTAATATATGCACCTCTAGATTAAGATTATTACTAATACAGTTGTATTATACCAGGGGCACCCAACAACCGGATTTTTTCCAAATATTCACGAAGTGTCTCAGATAGTTTTCTCTTTGCTTTAGAAGCCCTCTTGGTTAATTTGGAACTACCCTGAAAACTAGTTACCTGTTTCGCCTATTTCTTCCTTGTGAAATGAGTGAAATGTTCTGCCATTTTGTATCTTAACCTCGTCTCCAGGTTTTCTCAGTTAATGGTTTAATAATCTGGCATTTTTGCTGCACGATGGACGACATCAGTTCACATATCACAAAATTCTTCCTAATTTGGTTCACAGTAGCTGGTTACGATGAATTATGTTTGGGATTTTAGCCAATCAGAAACAGAAAAATATTTTGAATGAATAATAATGTTAATTATCTGACTGTATCTCGTTAAGTATCTAACTGTTATCAACAGGAGGATGTTTAAGACTTCTTCTAGGGGCAGTCTGGAAGCATGCTTCCCCTGAAAATGTTGAAATTTCAAAGCCCTAAAATGTGATTATCAGGGTCCTAGGTACAAAATTGAATACAAAAGAAAAGGCAAGATTTAATTTCTTCATTTTTTCACAACTGTTTTTGATCCTTAGAGACGGTTCAGACCAAAAAAGTTCAAAATATCCCACGCTCTGCGACCAATTGTTTCTTGCAGTTTTAATACCATGTGACTATATCCAAAAATAAAAGTGATCCAGTGTAAGACTCATAGATCGTGTCAATCTACTAAGGCACAAAGTATTTCAAATCAGTGTGTAAGTAGAAGTCCTGAGGTAACCATAAATTTTCATGCATGTGTGTGTGGCCCAGGGTCTTAAACCCTGTCCACCCTAGTTAAGGATGAGGTGAACGGAAATTTACACCCTATCAGGACCCAAATCCCAAAAGAGTGAGAATTTAATGGCAATATGCATACATAATGAATAACATAATGATATAATGATATCTTTCTTGTGTAACTGGGTATTAACGCACTTGAATTTTTATAATATGGATACAGTTTGGGTACCCTATACCTATCCCATGTATCAACCCCCCTCCCCCCACCCCACTACCCCACTACCCCGGGCTAGAAGTAAAACGTAAAAAAAAAAGGCAGCATTTTGCATTGTTGAATACAGCTTATCCTTTGTTCAGAGTTTTCATTTAAAAAGCTGGAAAAAGTTAAGTATTTGCTGGGAGTCTGTTTAAACTTGAATAAGCTTTAAATTTGTATTATATAAAATAGCTAGCAATACCCGCCGTGCAGCTACAGAAGCCCTGCCAGGGACGGGGGGGGGGGGGGGCCCCTACACGTTTATTTTTTTTTGAAGTTTTATTTTAAAAAAGTGGAAAAATTTAAGTTTTTGGGGGGGGTTTTTTTAAATTTGAAAAAATTTTAATTTTTTTTTAATAAAAAATGTAAAAAAACCCCCCCGGGCAATAAAAAAACCCCGGCAGGGGGGGGGGGGGGGGGGGGGTCCCATGTCGCCCGTCTGAACTTTAAAACGTCTCGTCTCGGTGTTCAAAAATGCTTGTCGCTAAACTTATTGTCGGCTTTGCTGCCACTGTCGCAATTTGGCCGAGGGATGTTGTCTCTTGTCGCGATTTCATTTTACGCGCTGTCGCTACTTTTTGGGCCATGTCGCTTGTCGGAATTTACCCTGGCAGGGCCTCGCAACAGCTGTTATAACTTTTTCCAGCAGTATTTACGCCTTCCAAATCACGCTTAAGCTTAGGACAGCTTTGAAACCATGAGCTGAAAATATCAAGATTAACACAATAACTGTACAGGAATACTTTAAAGTATTAACATGCAAAGCTTGCCTCTCTTACCGTTTACAGTTGTGGAGAGATTGTGGTGACTGGAGGCAGCCATATTCTTCCGCGCGCGGGGTGCACGCAACACGAGCAAAATTGAAAAATTTCCCGCCTTTTGAAGGATACGAGCCCGCGATATGTAAAGTGTTAAGCGGATGCGTATTAGGTAATGCGCAAAAGATGGTTGCGCAATTTTCAAGAAGGAAAGCGCGAAATAATTTTTTCCTTGGATGTTGAACAGTTGAAAGCCGACTTACAGAGGGAATCTTGTTATATCTTGACCATCTTAGGACAAAAACTACACAATGAGTGACGTAAAGGTAGTTTCTGTTTCAAACCTTATATATTTTTTGTTATTTTGAGTTTATCTGGTGACAACATATTTAAAAAATACATTTAAATTTGTAACAGACAACTGACGAACCTCAAGATGCTCCCGCTAGTCCTGAAATCCATTTTAAACCGCTTGTTAACTTAGCCAAGATAGAAGTAAAGTCACTGGAGGAAAACGAAGAGGCACTTCTGAAGTTGTAAGTAAACCATCTTTAAACAAATGATGCCCCCTTTTCTTTGCCCTTTACTGGTAGCGCTAGTTCGTCATTAATTTCCGTAACTGAACATGTAAATTTCCTGACAGACGTGCAAAGCTGTACCGATTTGAAACTAGCGGGGAAGAAAATGAGTGGAAAGAAAGGGGAGTTGGCGAAGTGAAGATCTTAAAGCATGGCGATAAAGGAACGTACAGAATTCTAATGAGAAGAGACAAGACGTTAAAGATTTGTGCAAACCATTACAGTAAGTATTAAAAGCACAAGCCTGTCACGTTTATTTTATCTTGTGTAATTAAAGGCATGACTAAATTAATCATCCTTTAATATTTCAGATCTCGGATTTTCAATAGGTAGATATGACATGCTATGAGGGTCCTGAAAATACCCAAATCAGTTCCATTAGTGACATTGGAGCCTCTTGTTAGGAACAACCTCTGACTATTTAGATTGCGGCTTATGCATGGGGCACGGGGGATGTTCGGCCCTAAAACCCAAATGGAACAAACACATCCTATTCCATAAAATTTTGTGGAACAGGACTCTGATGTATTGTTCCCCTGATATGGTAGACATTTTATGTAGTATCTTGGCTCTTGTAATAAATGGTACTACATATACAAACTTACAGCTCTGTCAATTCCAAGCGTGACCATCCATCTCCCCCCACCCAGGCATTTTTCAAGTGACATGTTCCCATGGTGGGACTTTGGTCTTCAAAGGTCTGCCTAATAATAGGGAATTTGATTGTTAAATTTCTTATTTTCTACCACTTTCAAAAAGGAAAATTGATGTAACTTAAGCATACATAATAGCTCAGTCAATTCCAAGTGTGCCCATGGTTGACATCGGTCCTTTTTCAATACTTCATTTAAAAATACACCTATTTAGAAAGCATATTTAGAAAGCTGAAAGCTTTAAAAAGATATGTGCTGGAAAAGTTCTGTTGTGATGAGAAAATACTCGTGTTAAGCTGGTTGGTTGTTTATTTATCATTCACTATTTTAAATACCTTCAAAAATAAAAAAAGTATTATTAAAAATTCTAGTTTAAAGTTCCGTCATTGAAGTTAGTCAGATTGTATGGATGTGTTCATTTTGCAATGGTTATAACTAGCGGCTAGGAGCGATTTGCCAAGGGTGCGTCTTTTATTTTGATCAGATTATTGCAGATTTCCTATAAATATGGCATTTTCAGCTGATTTACTTGAAAATGCAATTTTGGTGTTGTTCTGGGGTGGGACAGTTGCACAATTTTTTTCGGTCCCAACATAGGGTTTTGGTGTGAACCACCTGGCCCCACTGTGGGGCATTTGCAACTTCCACCCCCCCCCCTCACCCCCCAAAACCAGTCCCAAACCAGTTCCATGGGAGTTGAACTCTTTTCTTATGTAAACACTTTCTGTTGTTCCAATAAATTAGCATAGATGCTGACCACGTGAGTGAAAACACAGAATTGCCATGCCGCATAACTACATGATTTCCGAATATTTGGTAGTGAGCAATCAATGAAATAATTAATTTACTAATTTTATTTTTTCTTGTTTCAGTAACAAAAGACATTAATTTACAGCCAAACTGTGGTAGTGACAGAGCATGGGTTTGGACCGCTGCAGATTTTGCCGATGAAGCCGTGAAAACAGAAACGCTGGCTATTAGATTTGCTAATGCTGAAAGTAAGTTTTGCACAAAGGATGGAATGATTTTTACAACTTGAAGCTAAATTTTTAGGTGCCATCAGTTCCGTTGTTGATACTACTCAAGATTATTATTAATGAATACCATGTTTTCTTTTTTATAAGCAAGACCTGGGGTATTCATAGTTATAATTCTCCTACCCTTTTTATGTTTTTATTCTGCCAATATTGCATGAGGGAAGTGGTGAAAAAGACCTGAATATTTTGTGTGCTTTTAAATCTCAAACCTTTTTTTGGTGGTATTAGAGAAGGGGCTCTGCAAATGAGAAACCACCTTTTTATGATGTGAAAGGCTGTGTGCTACATGAAGACCCCAGCTGCAGTCTTTCATGGAGTAGTGGTTTCTGGCCGTGTACAACAAGAATTATGGCCATTTCCCTAAATTTTATTGTGTAACCTGGAGCTTCTTTATAACCTGGCACCAGTCAAGTAAGTTTCTTCCATTCCTCTCCTGAGAAAAAGGTAATCAGAGTTATCAATAAAGAAGTATTAAGATCTTGTGAAAGTAAACTGCCAAGGTATAAATTAAAAGAAGCTAGCCAATGAAAATCACACTGTATGTAAATTACCTGGATTATCTTAATAGTGCTCTAATCGTTTTTGGACTTCTTTCTTAACGGCGACTATTTTGTTGTTAATATTAAAAACAGATGCCAAGAAATTTAAAGACCTAATTGTTGAATGCCAAGATAAGATAGGCATTCCAACAGATGAACAAGAAAGCGACAAGCTTGCAAAAGAACTTGAAGGACTCGAAGTCAAGGAAAGTAAGGAAGATGATGCTAAAGAAAATGATTCCGAGAACAAAGAGAATGAGACAAAAAGTAAGGACAGTGAGCAAAATGAATCAAACACTTCAGAAACAGATGCATCCGATGAAAATAAAAATACCCCAAGTACAGAGGATACACCAGAAAAATAGTCATGGAAGTGAAGATTCTTAGTATAGTTATTGGCAGCCAGCTTTTCTTAACAGACTCTCTTCAAGGAACTGCTAAATTATTACTCTACCAAATAAGGCACTTACTATGATAAAATAGCAACTTTTTTTTTCCTTGCAACAGGTATTCATAAACCAATATTAGGGAGCTTAGGCAACAATGTTGACGATGGCTCTCTAAACCTATTGCTTTTTTGCCGTTCTCGTACAGGTCGTGGTCATCACTGCTTAAGCTCCCTGTTATTGTTGTCTAGACCTTCACTATCAATATACTACATATACTATATCCTTTGCTTGTGTTAAGATTTTCTTAAGTCTTTGCTTGTTAGAATATTCCTTTTTTGACTGTAAACATTTTTGATCAAAGAAACATTACTAACTAAAATCAAAATGATGTGCTATTTCCTTTCATTTCATAGTGAACCTTCTGTTTTCTTTGTATACAGATTAAAGCAGTAATCTCTTTCCACATGTACAGTTTTTAAAGAATTTTTTGCACATTGATGTAGATAAGATGCTGACTGTAGTCACCTGAGAAGTTTTAAATTCTTTTTGTTTCCAAATATTAGATGATAATAGAGATTAAACATGGATTGTTTGAAAACATTTAGTTTTAGTATACAAGTTGAAGAAAATTAATTTAAGTTTTTTGGCTAAATATTAATGCTCATGAAAAATAAAATTTAAGTTTAACTCTGTTGTTCTGATGGTTGCTCCTTTGGCCTGATGTTTGAAATATAGTTTTGAAGAAAGTTCTCTGTTCTTATCCTTTGTGTATTCCCAAATAAATCATTCCATCTGCTCTGAAAGTATACAAAGAAAGAAGAAACATTTCCACACGAGCTTTTATAATCCTGTAGCACTGAGGCATTTTAAGAGAAGGGGAATAGGGAAATCAAGGTGCACAAGAACCCGCTGCACATAATTCTCCCTCCCCCTTTTAATGCCTGCCACACCGGCAAGTCTTTCCTTTGCCTTTAGATGGGCTTCAAACTGCTGATTTCTTTTGTGCAGAAATGTCATGGGTCCTGGCCGAAATTTTTTTAGTGAGCCAAATACTGTATTTCCTCAAATATAAAGTGCATGGGTCAGTGCTCTTTTACTAATATTACAGGAAGTCTAACAATTGCCAATAATGTCATTTAGAGTATCACACACTGGAGGGTGGGAAGGGAAAAGCTATTAAATGGAGGGCTTAACTCATAAACCCTAACATCTAAATTTTTATCTCATATATTAAACGATAATTTGGATGAGGGTTTTGTGATATCCGGAATAATCAAGGTCGAGTGTTATCAGCTGAGCTGAAGGCAGAGGCTGATAACCCTTGCGGAGACCTTGATTACTATTTTAGGATATCATTAAAACCGGAGCTAGTAATGTTGTTTTATTATACATTGTTTTGAAGAAAAAAACGACAAACACACCATCGCAAGGAATGTGAATTGATATTGTCATCCGATATCATGCATTGTGCGCAAACCACAGATTACTCAGTTATCTGCTAGCAGATAACTAGCTAATCTGTAGGTTGCACTGATTTCCAAAATTAGCAGTTGGCTCTTGGCCAGTGAGAAGACAGGTAGTGAGCACAAAGTATAATAAAATATCTTATTGTAGTAGTGGGAAGTTTAATATTTATTAATAATTAAATTCATCTTGTGTGGTTTCATCCTTAATTCTCATGACCACTCTGTTTGATAGCATTGATACAACAAGGAGAAATTTAACACTGATTACTCTTGGGGCTTAAAGAGTTAAGGTGAATCATGCTCCTAGTAGGTTAAACTATGTTGTATTCATTTGTTCAAGGTACAGGGCCGAGTTGTTCAAAGATGGGTTAAGATAACCCAGGGTTAGTTCGAAATTTGAATTCAGATATGAAAGCTTAAAAAAGCAAATTCAGTTTCATTCTTTTTGTCAACAATTTGATGATTGGCTACTCTGAAAATAATAGAAAAAATTGTTCAAGAAAATGATTTTGATGAAAAGAAAAAGAGACCCAGGTTAAAATTTAACCCTGGGTGCTAATCGGCCTTCGAAAAACTGGGCCTAGAGGCCTGAATAATGACAGCTCTGGCCATACCACACAGTTAACTGTCAATCCTTTATTTAAGTGCAGAACGTCATTAATTATGAATTATTTGAGGAGAGTTGAAGGCAAAACTAAGAGAACAGGGTGCAACTTAGAAAGGGAATTTGACTTATGGTGACTTAAAACATTTATAATAGACTTAAAACTACAGTCAAGAGGGTACAGAGCCACTTTAAATTCATCTTAAATTTAAGGTGGCCCTAAACCATCATGGCATAATTTTTTAAACTACTGTATTCCAGGAAATTATGGCAACACCAGCATTCAGTCTCTATTACATACTTATATTTATCTATATGCAGGTAAATGCAAGTTTATTTAAAGAAATCTGTAATTTTATTTATTCACATCTTCAGGTCACATGCTGTTGTTATGTGGCAGGATAGTAAGGATTGGTGTAAACAAAGTGAACAAATCCTCAGAGCTATGATCTTATAATACTTTCCTAAAAAAACTAGCTATCAGAGAAAAAAACTATTAATTTTTCTCAGAGAAAAGCATCTCAGTTTTGCAAGAAATATTAATGCTTATTGAACAGAAAATATTCTAAGAAAACTTCTTCTGCAGAGGAACACCTTGCAAAGTCATCATAGGACATTCAGTGGTTAACAGATCTCATGTTAAGACAGTTAACTTCACTAGGCAGAGTCTTCCTTCCATTTGGTACAGGCATTTAAACTCTGCAAGGAAGAAAAACAATCTGGATTAATGTAGGGAAACATGAACTAAATATGACTGATGCTTTGCTTTCAAAAAAACTCCTCTAATTCAATAGAGATGTACCTTCAACCCTCTAAGTTGAAGTTTTTGCTTGGTCGCCATTGGGCAACCAACTCTTTTGTTTAGGGAGGATTTTTTGAGCTATTTTGAAAAAATAGCTCATATGTCAGTGGTGTGAGCGTATGTATCTTTGTGGCTTTGTATCTTTGTGGCTTTGTATGTTGGGATGTTTGTTGCAAGAGCCAATTAGGTTGAAGGTACTATGAGTTGATGCTTAGGAACCAATGAGATCTTGGCATCTATTTAAACATGGCATTGGTAAAGGTCGAACAAGGGCACTTTGAGACCGCCATCTTGATCCTTCACAATTTTTTCGTCTTTTATTACGGGTACAGGTGTTTGGAAGCATTACATAAAATATCTTCATGATTCAAACGCTGTGAACAGTGATGCAACTGTTTAAGGGTTCATATTTAAGTGTGGATGCTGCTTCGAGGCATTTCTGACCTAATTCGGCTATCGGTACAACGCACGTCAGTGTGAGTTCTGTTTCACCTGCTACAACTGGGTAGAGTATAAAAGATCATATATTTTCAAATCTCTTCCAATGAAGCAATAATTGATATTTAGATATAGACTTTTATTCGAAAGTATGCGCCCTATAAAATGTGGTTTTAGAAGTTTAAAAGGCAGCTTATTTTTTTGAAAGCTGTATCGAGTATTGTTAATCCTGTAAACAAGCTTTAAAAATATTATTCTCTCGCTTACAAAGTTCAACCGACCTTTTTCGTTCTATTTAGTAAAGATGCGTAACTTAAGTAGAAACAGTGGCGTTAGGGAATAAAATTGGAGGAAGCTAGTTGACACAATAATCATGATATAAGTAGAAATATATTTCGGCAGTTTGATAATTTTCTTGGAAGTTAATAAATGTTAGGCTATCAACCTTGACCTTGCATGAAACATAATTTAATTGCAGATGTTGTAGTAAAGCCGAGGTGATTTCTTAAAATCGTTTAAGAAAATTTTGTAACATCTTCACATGCAAATTGTGTGCATGAGTTATTTTTATAATTCTGTTTACTAGATTACTGTGTGATAACTCGAATTCCCTCACGTACGAACGACGAAAGGGGGCAAAGTCCGACACTTTCACGTGCCAGCTGTGTGACTGTACATCACATGCAGATTGGCTTTTCACAATAATAATAGTAACTTGGACGTATGAAGACCTGTTTCATTTAGTAACCAATGCCTTAAAAAAGGCTCTTGTCTTTTAGGAAGCAATAGCTTTTAAAACATGACGAAATAAGTTGTCGGAGTTAAAGACCGTTTCACAAAATTTTGTTAATAAATGTTAGGTTATCAACCTTGACGTTGCATGAAACATAATTTAATTGCAGATGTTATAATGAAGCCGAGGTGATTTCTTAAAATCGTTTGAGAAAATTTTGTAGTGAAGAATTTGCCTTTTTTTAACGTACGAATTGTAAAAGGGCCAAAGACCAACACCTTCACGTGCAAATTGTGTGCGTGAGTTATTTTTATAATTCTGTTTACTCAGCTAGTTTACTGTGTGATAACTCGAATTCCCTCACGTACGAACGACGAAAGGGGGCAAAGTCCAACACTTTCACGAGCCAGCTGTGTGACTGTACATCTCATGCAGATTGGCTTTTCACAATGATAAATAGTAACTTGGACGTATGAAGACCTGTTTCGTTTTGTAACCAATGCCTTAAAAAAGGCTCTTGTCTTTTGAGAAGCAATAGCTTTTAAAACATGAAGAAATAAGTTGTCGGAGTTAAAGACTGTTTCACTGAGTAGAATCGCACGTGAAAACCTCGTGAATTATGATGATGCAACCATCTACCACAATGATAAAAATCCTGGTATTTCGTAACTATTCAGTATTCGATGAGTCACATTTTGGCTTAAGAAACTCCGAGGAAACCTTAGAGTTTTCCTTCTAATCAACGTTTGGTGAGTAGAAATTTATTTCACTTTAACGATTTGTTTAACTTGCACCAGATGTAACAGGGAAAGACAGAGGAAAGTGAATATATAGCTTGAGGATCGACTCAGCTGAGCGTTTCGCGTTTTTATTTTGTACCGCAATACGCAATTTCGCACAAAAACCTAATCTACATTTAGGATGAAAGAGGTAGATTGATCACTCTTGGTAAGGTTACATCGAAGCATTAAAGTTACACTGAAGCATTCAAAATAGCTCATGCACGTTTAACGTGCCTATGTTTACTAATCAAGTCGCCAGCTCCAAAATTTAGGTGCCAAAGCGACCAAAATGGTCACAACTTGGAGGGTTGACCTCTGCCAATGGCCATTATGAGGGAAATATTTGGTGACCACTGTTTAGGGGTAGGGGTGTTTTATGGTCCCCATGTTTATGTGTCAAATGCCCTTGACCATTTCACTTCTAGATCAATGGGTCATCAAGTTATGGCAAGATGATTCGTCAGTATTAGGTTATCTGCAGATGCAATCCTACAACCAATCTCCCATTCAAATGAAACTTATTTGGCAGAACTTTTGCATAGTACTATTTTATTAATTAAGAATTTTACCAAAAGAAATTTGAATCTTTTTTTCTGAATTTTTCACTTTGGCCACTTTCAGGAGTCAGGCAATATTGTATGAATGAGAGGATAATACAAATTAATTGTATATATAGTGTCATCTTTCTGGTATAGGACAAGTGAAGGTAGCCATATCATGGAGGTTTTGCAAAGCATTTGAGCTGCTGGTTGTACAATTATTATTAGGTGTATCTTCATATTAATATTATCCACTTACTTTTTAACTATCTGAACAACATCCTCATCTTGCAAGAAATGTTCTTTGCCAACTTTCTGTGGACTGAATTTCACTGATGAACCCCAAACTAGTGCACTGCAACAAAAGTTATTGATAAAAGAATCAAATTGTATGTACCACCAAAAAGGTATAGCTTAACGCATTCTCTGATCACTGTGTGCACTATGCTACTTAGAATATACGAAGAACTTTAGAGACAACATGGAACTACACATGTCCTAACTTAGACATTCTTCCATGAAGTAGATGTGCCTGGGCCTCTTCTCAGAAGAGGCCCCCTGTGGTTTGATTCTTGTAAACTACCTCCTCCCACAAGCAACCACTCAGTCTTTGCGTTTTGGGTGGTCACTTATGGGAGGTTCGATTGTACATCATTACTAAATAATTATTAGTCATCCCACCCATCCACAATATCAAGAAACTATTGTTTATTCAGAAGCTGAATCAACAACAATAATACTTCCCTTTGATAAACAAAATTCTTACTGTTTAAATTCCTTCATGATGCTCTTGTGAAGAGAATTACAAAAATCCTCAATAGATGATTGTCCATTTTTCAGTACAACTGGTGACTCATAATCTGGTAGCTGACCTTTTGGTTTTGTGTATCTGAAAAAAACATGTAAATGTCGTAGGTACTTAATCTATAATGAAGGAAAGATTTTGTACTTAAAAATAAAATGTTGAAAGTCTTGCTGAGAAACACAGCATAAAATTTCTAATCCGTTCCTGAGTTTAGTAAGAGACCTAAATCAAAAACTAAAACAAAATAATCATTTACAGTGCAAAACATAGAGCAACAAAGCTAACTGATGACACAAGACTAAGTATTTTTAACAATCCCATTTTTGCTACCACACTGTACCATGTTGGTAAAAAATATGTCATGAAAAGCTGTCATCTTAAATATGTTCATTATTCATAAACTTAATCTTACATCATCAGTGAGAGAATTTAATCTTTCACAATAAACAACTGTCAAACATCTATTACGCGGTACCTTTACTTTGCAGCATGCAGTTATCAGAGTACCGGCTGACAAAAATTGACAGTAAATAAATTGAAATTTGCCCAGTGATTTTCCAGACCTGGAAAAAGTCTGGAAAATGGATAGACTAGCCTTTGCTATTTGTAGGTGCCCAGTGAGAAAATAAAATTGTAAATATCTGATAAAACCAATAAATGAAATGATAAAGTCTGAGAGAAATAGTAAAAAGTCTTGAGTTTCCTTTTCAATACTACAACAGGTTAGAAGTGACTTTGTTTTCCTTTTGGTAAAATCTTACTCAGTCTTGCCTGTATATTTGCAATGCACCATGCAGAAAAGCTTTCTTCCTGTGTTTTTCAAGGTCTATATTGATCACCTATTTGATAACCTTGAGTCTGGAAAAAAATATATTGTTTAGGAAAAAATTCTGGAAAAAGTCTTGAATTTTTTATCCAAAAATCTGTACGAACCCTGTATTGAGCAGCCAACCTTTAAAATGATATTAGTATTACTAAGGGTCCACTGGTCCCTTTCCCAAGGGTGGTCAGTTAATACAGGTGCAACCAAACACATATCTAGGAGTGGAAATTTCATAAAAGCAAATTTAAACTTTCCTGTTTCAAAAATGTGTCACTTACATTCTGAGAAGATTAAGGTACTCCCAGGTCTTTTCCAACAAGTCATCAAAGTTCCACTTATGATGGGCTGACAGTGGAACTGCATGTGGAATTTTGTAAACTAAATCCAATTCTTCAATAGATATTTGATCAATTTTGTTTAGGATGTAGATGCATGGAATGTAAACCCTATGACAAAAAGTCCAAACAAGTAAGATTGAAGAACAAAAGTTATTATTGTCCACTGAATGAGGGAAGGGAGCATTCAGTATGGCAATGGATCACAACTTATACAGTCAGGATTTAGAAGAAAACATTGAGTTAAGGAATGATCAATTTAGATGGCTCTTTGGCAGAAAGTATTGCAAAAGCTATCAAAAAGAAAAGGTTATGGCTACAAACAACACAAATTTAGTTTCTATCATTTTAATAGTTAAAAAATGTTACTAAAATGGAACCATGAATCACATGATTGATAACAATAATAATTATTTTTGTTTTTAAAATCTGTTTAGTATTCATCTTGATTCTCAATGCATTTTAATCCAAAACATTTGACAAAATTTAAGAAGCTTTATACAATCAACTCTCTTGTAAGCAACCACCCTTGGTGCATGACAAAGTGGAAATTCGAGCAATAATATAATAGGGTCATTTATACAAGGAAAAATAAGACGCGTCTTAAATGAGACGCGAACTGTACCGTTTATACGAGCATGTCTTATCTAAGACGAGAACAGCTCGTATAAATTGTTCGCGTCTTATTTCTGTTCTTGACTCGTTTTCGTGTGAATGTTGCCCCTAGCAACTGCAATCCAACGTGGCATGCCAAAAATTAACGCATGCATACTATGCGTTCGCGTCTTATGTAAGACGCGAAGTTCATTCATACGAAGTTTTTCTCGTCTTAGCTAAGACACGTCTTATCTAAGAACAGGTGTTAAGGGCTGTTCTAAAATAAGACGCGTCTTAGCTAAGCCGCGTCTTATTTTAGACGAAATATGCCGTTTATACGGAAAGTTGGCGTCTTATTTAAGACACGTCCTATGTAAGATGCGTCTTATTTTTCCTCGTATAAATGGCCCTATTGTGTTCTTACAATCATTTGGATCATGCCAGGTGGACACTTGCGGGAAACGGAATATGTCAAATGTCTGGTTTAAAAAGTGATCGCGGTTGTGAAGCAATTTAAGTAGCGGTCACTTACCGGAGAGTTTTTGATACAGTATTTGTCTGAGAAACAAAATGGTTATTTTCAAAGTGGTCATTTACGGGAGGTGGTCGCTTACGAGAAGTGGTCGCTATGAGAGAGTTGACTGTATACAAACTCTAAAAAGGTAAGAAAATCATGATTTTAGAAGCTTGTCCTGCCAAAGTTATTTTCCTCATATTTTCTATCAGATTTAGAAAGTTAAACTGACTTGCCTGTTTCCTTCAATAACGTCAATGAGGTCATCTGCATTAGCATCATATCTCAATGTGATATCAGCATTAGCAATGCGATATTCACTCAGAATTGACCGCACTGAGTCAATGTCCAGCTCTGACTGATTACACTGTGATAAAAACAAGTAAATACTTGTCACAATGAAGATACTATCCCCTGATTACATCTTCCCCTCAATAACCAAACCATACACATGCATTGTAACCTACATGTATCAATGGAAGACCCAGGATATGACCATCTTACACTAATTATCATAAAAAACATACTTGGAGAGTTATCTGACTTGTAAAATCACGCCTTAAATCTGAGCAAAATATACGAACATAAAATAACTGATAAGGAAGGTTAGGGGGAGAGGGCTAAAACTGTACAGAAGCCCTTTCAAATAATATTATTGCAGTCTAACTTCCAGTGACAGACAACCTCATAATCGGACACTTTTTACAATTAATGTCAATCTGGCCAACACCCTGAGGAGAATTATTGCCAATAATATGTGAAAACAGCCTTTCTGAGGATTGATCACTTCCAAGACTTTCCACTGTATTTTTTTATACAGACATGAAGACATTATAAACTACCATATTCACAACCTTTCAGTTACTGGTAGATACTCAATCCTCATTATCTTACATGCACTTACTGTAGTTTGAAGATTTATTCCACCCTTTTCCTTCCTTCTGAATGTTATATTTGGTGGTTCCTTATTGAGCCTGATAAGAGAAAAATCAATTGATTCAATGCTACAAAGTGTCATGTGAATCAAGAAAAAAAAAACAGACTTATAGCTAAGACACAGGAACACCTTTTTCTCTCTGAGAAAAAGTTTGAGCATTAGCCAATATAACAAAAAAATATTGCTACATGTAATTTACAGGTATCTAACTATCTAATCATAATATATTATGTACATTGAAAACAATTCCTAGAAGAATACAGTAGTTAACTTGAAATGATGATGTTTAAAACATTCATAGTACAAGTACTTTAAATTTTGATTATGTTATGCTGAGAATGTACCTTATTCCAAAGCCTTCCAGTTCATGTTCAATGAGTCGTTTGTGTCCCAGAGGTTTTAGGACATCGAGTACTATGAAGATTAAGCTGCAAGTCCTTGCAACTGAAATTTAAACAATAAACTTCACACTCAAATAATAAAAAAAAGTTTAAGTAGTGTGCAGCCTAGAGAAAGGAAACTTTTGTGCCAGGCATAATCTACATATCTGGCGGGTGGGAGGGAAGGGAGGGAGGGAGGGGAAAAAAAATTTACAGGTACTTTTTTGTCAACCAACATATTGGCTTTCTGACATTAGTGTAACCCTTCACTTCATCAGAAATGTAGTAAACTAAACACTACAACAATGTGCTATAAATTCTACAGTGTTTTACAGGTTCAGTTTAGATAAGGCATGTGTGAATGTGTAAGCATGTAAAGGAACATAAAAGCCATACATCAATAAAAAATATATATATATTATTTTTTTTTTGGGGGGGGGGGTGCTAACAAATTCTAAAATCTTTCCTCAGTTTCCTTGAAAAAGCCTCTTGATTTGCTCACCTGCAATCACTTGACGTCCTCTTCCTTTACCATCTTTAGCACCTTCAATAATTCCCGGCAAGTCAAGAAGTTGTATTTTGGCCCCTTTGTACCTTATCACCCCTGGTACAGTGGTGAGTGTGGTGAACTCATAGGCAGCAACTTCAGAATACACACCCGCAAGGTTGGTCAATAAAGTTGACTTGCCAACAGAAGGAAATCCTGCAATGTTGGAGAAAGAGAGAGAAGAATGCATGAATGAAAAAGATGTATAATAATAGCTTCATTCATTATCAACCAAGGATGAGGTCAAGACAATAGGATATTGCACAGTACAGTTCTTTAAGGCAAGTCTTTCATTTGTTATTGATTGACTATTAACCAACTGACCCATTTATTATTTAAGTAAAAGAGGGCAATGCATCAAAAACAAAATGCTTTGTGAGCATCACCCAATGTCATTTCTATAGAGCAACATCAAGTCGAGATCTATAAAAGAAACCATTTATCTGAATAACTGCTACCTCAGGTCTCTCCTCTTCTTAGCTAGAGATGTGAATTCAGGTCTGATTCACTGACTCTTAACTGACTTACCCACAAAACCAATTCTGGCATCCCCAGTTTTGGCAACATCAAATCCTGCAGAATCAGTAAAGCAATTTAATCAGCTTTTTTAATCAATTTGGCATCATATTAATACACACATGAGAGCTATCCTAGACTCAAGGCCAAAGTTGTACCTTTTGTTAGAGTGATGAAGGAGACTTCTAATTAATAACGAGGCTCTCCCATTTTTTCTCGTTAACTCAGTGCTGTCAACTCTCCTGGATAATGCAGGAGACTCAAGTTTTTGAAGTATTTCTCTTGGTCTCTAGATTAGAGTCTGAAATCTCCCGGATAATCGCCGAAAATTGCCATTTCTTATAGATTTGACTTTCTGACAATAAAATTTCAAATATTTTGTGTTGTTTGAGCCATTTATATTACAATGGCATACCAGAGTTTGTAAGGAAACTTACGATGTTAACATGATTAGTGGGAAGTAAATCAATCAGGTCAAATGTTATTTATTCCAACAACATCTTTTTTGCACATTTTTTTTTTTCACAAATGACATTATGTGTAGTGCATTATGACGTCATCTATGATCCCTTCCCTATCAATTCCCAATATTTGAAGACCTGGGGGGTTGACAGCCTTGTTAACTTAACCCCGGTATTCCCCAGTCAGATTCCTCCCCTGAATATTTTGTCACGATCAACTGCCTCTGGGTCTCCAAGGATAAAATGACCTATGGTTACACACACACACACACACACTGTGATCAACTCGCGTCGTAACTTCGCCAGCCGAGCCTTTAACAATCCAAGATGATGAGCGGTCGCCTTGTTCTTCTGTGTTCGCGCCATCTGAAGTCGACAGAAAATTTTCACATTATTATTACTGATATTAGCGCCAAAAACGGATAAATTTGGCATCAAATCGAAGTGTATACCTCGCTCTCTATCTCAGCGATTTTTTCGAGGATACCCATGATGAAATACCCGGATATTAAATAAGATATTACTACCACATGAAGAAGTTCAACAAGGAGATCAATCTCTTCCTTTCCTCACAAGTGAACCAATTGCCATATACGAAGTACTTACCAAAAAAGTAGTTAAATCCGCTGGACAGAGCTGAATATGCGCTCCGTATACGACAGCATTCATTTGCAGAGATCCGTTCGACCAAAATTTCCGGAAAAACTCAATGGATCGGTTCGGTCTAACCGGAAGAGTTTCGAAAAAACGGGTCCACCTTTTGAGGTGGTCCTCTTTTCCCGGTCGGACCGGTCTGAATTTTGGTTGAATGGATCGCTAGACAAGACTAGAAAATTACGCCGACCCCGCGTTTTGGCCACTCAGTTTTTTAATACTAACCAGCCAAGGCCTAGCCTCCCACACAGGCGTTTTTAGGGGAGCTTGTCTTTCATCCCTCCCTGAAAGACGAGCTCCCCTAAAAACGCCTGCGTGGGAGGCTAAGCAAGGCCAGCATACGCTTAAATCTGCGGAACGGGAGGAGTCCGTCCATCACCCAACCAGAGGCTTAAATTTAATCTTAGTTTCAAATTCGAATTAAATTCGGACAAATGCTTAAAAAACGCGCAGAACTTTTCATTTTAAGGTCATTTTGATGTTTGCACTGAGCATTGAGGATAAGCCTTTGAAACTCTCATGAAAAAGCTCGTGCTACAAAAAATGTGTTTTTGTGACGCTCTTAAATTACGTCGTGAAATCAAAGAGGAACGGCAAATCCCTGCCCTACCCACCATTTGCAAGAACATCTTAGTGAAGACCAAGTTATGTAGGAAAATAAATGTTTATTTCATTATCTGGAAAGCATACTTATTTCCAACTACGGGAAACCGCTTTTCGGCAGAATCACAAACAAGAATGGGTCACAAGAAGCTGGCACAGTTATTTAGTTTCCCGATACAAATATGTACAAAAATATCTACAAAAATATTAGAAAATATTCATTCAAATAAGGTGTCCGTTGAGGGAATAAACAATTCCATGAAGTTATTAGTTTTAAGAGTTCGTCTGAGTCCAAGTTTATGTCAAATTGATATCAAATAGAGTCTTTTCGCAGATTCAGCAGGAGATACTCATAGTTTGCATCAAACCCCAATCAATCTGTCACATCAGGGGTGGATCTAGGGGGAGGGTGCAAAGGGTTGCGCACCCCCCCCCCCCCACCACCCCTGAGATGACCTGCGGTTTTCTAATACAACTAGTATTCTGCCCAAAAAAACTATGTGGTTTATTGGTGTTGAAGTAGAGCAAGAGACGAGTGCACCCCCTCCTGAAAAAAATCCTGGATCCGCCCCTGCACATGGGACATATCGCTGTTTCGGACACCAAACTAAGACTATATTTAGCCTCGTCAGTAGCTGTTCTAACCTTCTGGGTGACTCCTACAAAAATGTTCTACCACTGGTATGGTATTTTATGGAAGTGAAACGGAAAACCTTTTTTAACAGTTTCTTAGAGAGTACTTTGTTCCTATACAACTTTACAGATGACTTGAGGCATGCAGTTTGTCTCCTTTATGACACACATTTCCAGGCACAATTTAACGTCTCTCCCCTTCGAATTTTACTCTACACGCCTTAAGAAACTGCATTTCAGCCATATACACCACACACTCTTCTATACACAGGCTCGACACAAGCAGAAAGCTTGTTGAATACTGACTGTTCAGTGATCGATAAAGCTAGCTGCTTTCCGTTGCAGTTTGTCAAGCCGCCACTGAGATGTTGAGAAGCGTAAAACAGAACAGGATATTTCTCCACCTGGATCCCATTTAGTCCGTCATTTCAGACCGCGTTGTAGTATCCTGGGGCGACGGTCGTCCTTTGCCTATGTCGGTGACCACTTCGCTTTTCGCCTGTGGGCTCACGACTTTTCCTGGCCTTGTTTCGCTCATCTTCTCCGTGTGTTCGATCAATGATAAGCAAACAAAGGCCCAGTTAAACAGAAACTGAGCTGGCAAGGAGCCGTGCTTGGCCACTTGTCCTTGGGGCACACCTGAAGGAAAAGGAAAAAACTTAATTTTCAAGCCTACCATTTGAACCAATTGAGAGTGTATTTTGAGTATTTTGAGAGTGTATGTTTGTGTTAGAGGTTGTGTAAGATTACTTCAACACCAACGGAGCCAATGAGTAGTACTAGTAGTACTTTTCAGTAGTTCCGCTTGATGGATTCAACTGCTATGGATTAAATCGAAAGGTGTGGCCATTTTTCCCGATAGGACCGACTGGGTCAGTGTTACTGTTATTTCCCCCTTTTTTTGAGTGGAGGGGGCGTCTGTACACAGGCTACGCCAGTTCGTTTTCCATAATCATTACAACTGTGACCGGAAGCATCCCAGTCTTCCATTGAGAGTAGCTTACAGTCAGATCTCATCCTTGTCCAGTATGACGGCAATCTGTCTTCAAGATGCCTGTTACCCAGAGAGGTGTTGCTTAAAATAAGATAATTCTTGGGTCAAACAAAGTCGTAAAGCAGAGAAGATGAATTTTGGACAAACTTACGCTGAAGTTTTCCTGCCAGCGACTTGGCGTCCACCCCACGCGCGTTGCTCCTTGCTGTGGGATCGTAGGATGTGATGAGACGGACCAGGTCTGCGTTTACTAGCTGTTTACACTCTCTCCATTCGTTAAATCGTTCCTGCTGCTGCGGGTCTACGTAGAAGATTCCCAACACGGCTTTTAAAATGTCGTGGATCACTTTAGGCGGATCTTTGTAACTTTTGATCTCAGCGAAGGCTCTAAACAATTAAATTAATAAAAACATAAGTACTGAACTCTCTCCCATTAGGAGGTATCTGAAAGTAAGGCCCTCCCACTTTTCTCCGTAACAGTTCACTGGTCTCCATACGTAAAGGTGCACCTTAGACCGGGTCCATCTGGTCTTACACTGGGCCAAGAGTAAAAGTCATCGTTCTTTCGTTTCCTCCGCAAATTTATACGACAAAAAATATTAAAATGCATGTAGCAATTTATAGAAGAAATTTGAGGAAATCTTTTTCTGGGTTCTTATTATGGAATAGGACCATTCGACCGAACCCAGACAATCCATTTAGGGACATCAAACTCGCGCCGAAGAGCCCAAGTGAAAACGAGACCGCACATTGTCATGTACCAAACCCGAATTGGAGAAGGCAGTGCGCTTGACAACAGAACAACACAATAGTTTAGGTGACTGTAACATAAAGAGGGTGGTAGGGCACGTTATTCGTTTATTGATATCCCCATCCTTAATGGATCAGAGGGTCATCATCTCGCTTAATGTGAGTCACCATTCCCACTCTAAGCAGGGAAAGAAACAATTACCTGGCGTCCAGTCTTCCAACGTTCTCTCTCAGGTCCAAAAGCATGAGTCTGTCAAACAGCACATCAATGCGAGCGTCTTCGTATTCTTTTTCCACCTCTAAATAACCAAACCAACAGTTAGAGTTCAAACGCTTAAAAACTGATAAACAAGTTTTATGCGTCTGTGATTGGTAAAATTGAGAACTTCAATGTTTTACGAGACTAAACTGGAAACTACTCCAAAGGTAGCACAATTTGAATTTCAACTCTCACCTAAAACAATATTTTTCTCAGCTGCACCCGTGGTGATCTCTCGCGCCACTTCCCTGTGTGCGATAGCCAGAAGTCTGAGCATGCGCTGTATTTCTCTGTTCTCGTGTGGCGGTAGGGCCTTGAGTTCGCCAATACTGATGTCTACCACAGCAACAGCTTTACCCTCCCCATCCCTGAGGGGAAAGGCCATATGACGCTCACCGTAAGCGTCTGCGGTGATGGTCTCTGAACTTTCTACACATTTGAACAAGTAGTCCCTGAAATCCAATAGCAGAAAAATTCTCAGCATTATTGAGCAAATAATTAACAGTTGCTGAACTCGGTTAACACAAATATCGTGTTTTGTCAGTGGTGGTGTTTTGATCTCTCTCCTCTACATGCGCAGAAGAGCTCTGGGTCGAGATTGATTTGTCGCCAAACACAGTTGGACGACACTGCGCATAAGCAGACCATTATTTATAGGCAGTTAGTTGCAGGTCACGTGGTGGACTCTCCGCCAATGAAAAGGAAGAAAAATTTGCATCATGATATTGGACCTCTTCTCTTTTACTTGGTTGCTTGCTCATCAAATAAGTGACGGTCGGTACATATGCTCGGTACGGCGCTGGTGTCTGTATAATAGAAGTGAACTTTATAAAATTAAAGAGCCCTTGGAAGCTAACCAACCACCAGCCGACACAAAAGGAACCTTGCTGGATCACAAACAAAGCAGCGAGGCAAGAAAAGAAAGGACTTGCGTAACCAAAAAGGATAATTTCCTTTCCTTTCAAGGTCCCACTGCGTTGCTTGCGTCCCAGCGTGTCTTTGTACCATGTGACTGGCCCTTCTCGACCGAGTGCGAGTGAGTTGTTTATGATAAAAAGGTTCCCGCATTGGGGAGAGGGTCAACTTTTTTTCTTACCTGAACAGGTTATCTCGTCTATCCAGTCTTGGTGGACTTGTGTAGTGTTGACTAACACCGTTATGAGCCAAAGTCATCATTCGACGAAGAACCAATCCGTCAGTTGGCTAAAAAAGAAAAATGAAGACATAATAAAAACACAAATTTCAACTTGTTTGATAAATTGCCTAGTCCCTGGGCCTCATTATTGGGCGCGGCCGATGCGTTTCGGGTCACGTGGTCCGAGCGAGTGCTGTTCGTCTCGGATATGTCACCGAAATCATCGACCGAGAAGGCTTGGGAAGACGCCATAAAAGGACTAGACAAAGAGTGGTCTAGCCCGCAAATACAGCCACACTGGGCGCGAGGAGCGAGTAGACACGGCTGTGTTCTTAGGCTAAGGGTGCTTTATAGAGTGTCTCACAAAGTTTTTGTTAATGTCGGGTGGCGATTACCATTTTTTTTTTCTGCAAACGTACCGTGGTAGAGTGGATATGTCAAAAGTACGACTTCTGTTCATAAG